AACAAAAAGACAGCTCAATTTAAAAATGGGCAAAGGATTTGAACAGAAGATATACAAATGACCTATAAGCACATGAAAATGCTGGATATCTTTAGCCATCAGGGAAATGCAAAGCAAAACCACAGAGTGAGACCCACTGGGGTGGCCAAAATAAAATAGGCCATAGCAAGTGTTGATGAGGATGTGGAGAAATTGGAGCCCTCATACACGGCGAGTGGGAACATAAAATGGTGCAGCAGCTGTGCAAAGCAGTTTGGCAGTTCCTCAGAAAGTTAGTTGCCTTATGATTCAGCAATCCCTCCCCTACTTACATACCACGAGAAGTGAAAGCATATGTCCACACAAAATCTTGTTCATGGCAGCATTATTCATAACAGCCAAAAAGTGAAACCTATGCAAACGTTCATGAACTGACAAATGGATAAACAAAATGTGGTTTATCCATCCAGCAAACTGCTCTTCTGCAATAAAAAGAAATATTATTCTGTTACATGCCGTAACGTGGATGAACTATGAAATGATTATGCAAAATTTAAGAAGCCAGTCCCAAAAGGCCACATATTGTCATTTAAATATGATTCTGTTTACGTGAAATGTGCAGAATAGGCAAATCCATAGAGACAGAAATTCGATTAGGGCTTGACTGGGGCTGGGGAAGGGGAATGACTACTTATGGGTACACAGTTTCTTTTGGGGCTGATGAAAATGTTCCACAGATAGTAGTGATGGTTGCACAACTCTGTAACATACTAAGAACCACTGAATTGCAGACTGTAAAAGGGTGAGTTTTGTGGGATGTTAATTATATCTCAATAAAGCTGTTGGGGAAAAAAATTTACCTGCTTTGATTTAGAGCTAAAATAGAGCTGTCAAGATGTATAGTTTATTTTTGTTTATATTTGGTTTAGTTTATGAAGGCTTTTAAAAAGTCATCTGCGCCAGGTGCAGTGGCTCACACCTATAATCCCAGCACTTTGGGAGGCCGAGGTGGGAGGATCACTTGAGGCCAGGAGTTCAAGAGCAGCGTGGGCAACAGAGGGAGACTCTATCTCTATGAAAAATAAAAATAAAAAAGTCATATCATACTGTTAAATACAGTAATATTTTAAAATGTTTACATTTTGGCGTTTCTTATTCTGAATTCCAGTAACTGTGAATTGTGACTTCATTATTCTGGGATACTTATTTTGTTCTTAACTGCAAACTAAACAATCTTTTGGATGATGCCAACATTTCTATAATTAAATGTATTCCCATCCTTCATTATTATTTAAATTGGCCATTTTTGTGAAAAATATTAGGCACTTTAAACAACGAGAGGAGTGCCAAAGTTTTCAGGAGCCTCTCGTTATTTCTATTATCTTAAATAAGAAAGGTACGAAAATGGAATTCCGGTAATTATTTTGAAATCTCTACGCTCTGCACCACTGTGAACTCATAGCTGAAGCTGCCTTGGACTATTTTACCTGGGCATCACCCATATACTCCTTGTGATTATAAATTGGGATACAGTAAAACAGACTTGATTTTTGAGGTCTATTCCATTAAAAAAAAAAATTTAGAAGATGAACTCAGTTGGACTCATCCTTTAATCCTGTTTTATCTCTGGCAACTATTAAACAAGTTGAACTGCTCAGAGAAGTTGGGCAATAAGCTAAAGCTACTTCATAATAGTATGGTTCCATCAGAACAGATGGTGCAGTGTCTGACCTATTTCCCATCAAGAATAGATTAAAACCCTTATATAACAGAACTAGTACTGTGCAGTCTGTTTTCCATAGCACTATTCCTGGCTGCAGCAGGAGATCAGAAATAAAAGAAAATAATGTAGTTAGACAAGTAGAAGAGCATCCTTCCAATTAAACGGACTTAATGTATTATCATAAATCATGGAGGCAGTAAGTCTGCATGCTACTTGATGACTGGTAAATGGGATCCTGAATTAAGCTTTTATTCATTCATTTGACAAATATTTATTAAATGCCTGCCATGCACCAGGACAGCTGAGCCCTAGGGATACAGCTGTGAGCAAGGCAGATCGACAAAGCTTTCATTTTAGTTAAAAGAAGACACATAAGTGATCACATGATATTTCGCAGAGATAGATGTATGTTTTATGAAGGTATGTCCTATCGCTCAGCGAATAATTTGAAGCAATATATGAGAATATGTACAATAAAATGAAAAAGTTTAAATAGATAAAAACCAATACACGGTCTAAAAGATCAAGACCATGGGGAAAATTAGAATATAGACAAACCATATCTAATTTTGAAAGATAACCCTTAAGCTTAGCCTTTTCCTTCCTATCAGTCCAAGCAAACACAGTTATTTACATGATGTGTATTGTCAATAAGAAAAATGCATTGCAGTTTATCATGGAAAAGTAAACTTGGCAAAGTGGGGAACAAGCATAGTGGCTTGTTGACAAAATCTGCAGAAAGCAGAAGATACATATATAGGAACTAAGACCAAGAAAGCCAGATCAAGCTGACTGAAAGTGGTCATGAAATTTTATATCTGATGATGAGCAATTTGACAAAGAGGAAGAAAAGCACATGAAGATGGTCAGGCTGTCTTTTGGAGATTTAACTCTTCAGTTGACATGGTCTTGGATTCCAGACGAAACTGAACCTAGGTAGAATACTGTGTTTCTGATTGTGAGCTTGTACTGACCATGCAGACCTCATGAACAATGCTGAGTGGCCTACCCTTGACCAGCTTTGGTGTATAGCAAGTGTGACCGTGGCAGAATCCCCATTCTTCATCTTGTAAGGCACCTTAGGGCAGAGGCAGCTGCAAGCAATAAGGTGGAAACATATGTTTTCAAGAATCACTTAACATTAAACTGTGGCATAAACCTTCGCTAGAGCACAGGATGGTTAATTTGATGAGTCAAACATGCTGAATCTAGTGGTGATGGAATTTTTTGGTCACATTGAAGAGAGGGATAAAATTCCAATTGCAGAATGTATGATAAGAATCTCCTCTCTTTGCCTGCAGCTGTCACTTTTGCCAGACTGAGGAGCAGATAAGTTTTCTTTACCTTTCAAAAGGCTCTTGCAGGAAGCATTGCTTGTTAGGAGCCATCCTGCACTTTCAGGCATCACAGATTAGCATGGGGACGGAGGGTGGGAGACAGCATCCTGAAGAGCAGGGGTAGGTGTGGCTTTGCCTGGGGCTGTGGCAGAGAGGCAAAGACCTGCAGTGGCAGAGACCTGCAGTTTTCAAAAGAGTCGGCTGCATTGTCTTTTTAGCTTTGCCCTGTGGACACTGGAACTCAGCTATCTGGAGTTTTCAACATCTCTCCCATCAGGTCCAAGGAGAACCTTTCCCTTAGTTTCCTCAGCTGCAGAATGCGCTGCTGACTTCCCAGGGACTTTGAGGGAATAACGTGCATTTCATTCACCAAGCAGTGCCCTCATGTTTACTGTTTTCAATGAATAACAGTTGTCTTCATTAGTTTGTGTTTGTTGTTTTGTAATTCTGCCTTTTCTTTTTCTCCCTCTATACCCCTACCCCAAACAGGTACCCTGTTTGCTTGTATTGCTTTCTTAGAAACACTTGGAGGAGTCACTGCAGTTTCTACTTTTAATGGCATTTACTCAGTCACTGTTGCTTGGTACCCTGGCTTCACTTTCCTGCTGTCTGCTGGTCTGTTACTACTTCCAGCCATCAGTCTATGGTATGTCATTATTTTTAATCATTTTATCAAAGGGTATATGGATTAAGTGAATTCCCTAACCTCACCAGTAAAATTACATAGATCTGTTGAAATTTTGCCTCAGAATGTGCTTTTCTCAAGAACTTTTAGACGTGAAGTGCTCGCTTCAGCAGCATATATACAAAATGGGAATGACACAGTGAAGATTAGCATGCTCCCTGTGCAAGGATGACATGAAAATTCATGAAGTGTTTCATATTTTAATAAAATGAATTTTTTTAATTAAAAAAAGAGAGCTGGTCATGGTGGTGTATGCCTGAAGTCCCGGCTACTCAGGAGACTGAGGCAGGAAGATCATTTTGAGCCCAGGTGTTTGAGACCAGCCTGGACAACATAGCAAGACCCCCATGTCATTAAAATAAATAAAAATATGTGAAAGCATTTGTCAACAATTTTGGGAGACTTAGGAAGAAAAAGAGTGACATGCATAAAGAACTCAAAGAAAGACTGTGTTCGTTATAACTCCCCGCCTTTAAACTATTGATTAAATTAGCATCTAAGATTAGAGATGTATACCTTAAACTATGATTTCCCAGAGTACAATATCCCCTGATGGTCAAATATTGCTGTAATTAGATTGACTTTCACGTGGATTCTTGTATAAATGACAAAAGCAGATAGGATGTGCTGACTATTGAGTTCTCTTTCCAGAGTTGGCTTGTTTAATGACTTTGTCTTGTTTTAATGACTTGTTTAAACTTCTGTTTAAATGTTTTTAAATTTAAATATTCAAATTAAAGAAGCACAAAATTCCATTTATGAATAGTACATATAATGGATAGATCAGAAGCATAAATATAAGAGCAATATTTATGCCTTCTTTTTGCTTTCTATTTAACAAAAAATGTGAGCTAGCTAGATGAATGATGGCTGAAATGTCCAAGCAAATTTATTTGACACATTAATGAAGAGCTCATTAATCTGTTTCTGCTGAGCTCTGTGCATTTCATGTGACTGATAGCATAGCACAGTGATGGGAATCAAGGCAGTGGGGACACAAGAAGCCAGGCCTTCTCTGCTTTCTCCTAAGCACTTTGGGGTAAGGCTCTGAGTTAGGGAGGAAAGTACCTATAAGCACAGGTGTTAAGCATCCTGCCAAGATGGCAAACTCTGGAACGGGCCGGCTCATGTCTTACTCATAGTAGGAGCTCAGTACTTACTGTTTCTACTGAATTCTGATACCTAGATCTGTGTCAGACAGAGAACAACAGTATTTGCAGTTCCTCTAATTTTGATGAAGAGTTATTTATACTAGTTATCTTTTTTAAAAAGAGACTATTCATCTATTGAATTAACAAAATTACCAGTACATACTGCGCTGGTGAGCACATAAGACAACTGATCTTACACACTGTTGATAACAGTGCTATTCAGCTGTATCATAAAGCAATTCATGAACGTATCAAAAGCTCTTTTTTCAAAGTTCATAGTGATTGATCCAGCAATTCCTTTTAGAAACATATTCTAAAGAAATCTTCAGTAATGTTGTCAAAAATTGATATATAAAAACGTTAATTACAGCAAAAAAATTTTAAATGACCAAACTGTCAAACAGTGGGAGAATGTTTAAGTAAATGATGGTACAGCCATTTCATGAAAAATAACTAGTAAGAATTGTAGCAGGCACCGTGGCTCATGCCTGTAACCCCAGCACCTTGGGAGGTTGAGGTAGGAGGACTGCTTGAGGCCAGGAGTTCAAGACCAATCTGGGCAACATAGTGAGACTCCCATCTTTACCAAAAAAAAAAAGATTTTTTTAAAAAGTAGGAAAATAAAATTTAAATTAAAGAAAAGAATTGCATACATGGTGAGTAGAATAATAGGTAATTCTAATTTTAGTCTTCATATATTTATAAATTCTGTTGTAACAAGTAGATAAAAGGCAGTTGTCCTTTTAATAATAAGGTAAATGTAGATAGGCTTCTGAGATTTTTTTTAAACCCTACACTGCTCAATATTTTAAAAATCAAAATTACATGCTGTCTTACCTCCAAAGTTTCTGGGCTTCAGTTACAGCTACCGAACAGGAACTTCTTTAATAGCTTTAGTTATAACTAGTTTATGTGGACTACACAGAGTTAACAATGGGACAGATGGGATATCTTAGGGGTCTAGAAGATTTAAAAAAATCATGTAGTTTTTAAATTATTTTAAGAACACCATGCATGAATCAGCTGGATTCAAAATGCCAGGATACTCCTCCTAATAATCTGCATAATTTATTAAAAGCTATAAAACTGGGGAAAAAAGTTGGAAAACAGATTACTTATTTATGTATTGTCTTAATCTCATCTCTAAAATGTCTTGTTTCCTTTTGTAGTGTTGTCAAGTGTATCAGCTGGAATGAGGGAAGCTATGAACTTCTTATACAGGAAGAATCCAGTGAAGACAATAGAAGTTAATTCAATAGAAGTTAATTCAATCCAGTTAATTCAATAGAAGAATCCAGTGAAGAATGCTTCAGACAGATGACTGTGATTTAAACAGAAAAAAAACTATGAATGCACATATCACATACTGTGACTTCTGAAGACTGTAAATGAATTCCACAATCAGTGCTTCACTGAGAACCCATTTGATGTATCTTTTCTCCTAAACTGGACAGTCAGAGAGACAGCTCCTGGCTTTAGCTTCTTGCGGTACCACACACTTTGAGCACTTTGTGCGTATTATGCAATATACTTGCAATACACAGAACAAATCTCAAATACGCCTCACTTTTGGACACAGAAGAGAAACATTAAAACTTAAGGGTGTAAGGCGGGATCAAGAAACTTGATAAGGTCAAAAGCAATAATCTCGCTGACATATTCCAGGCTCTTACACTGAGACCAAAGAGAAATCTTTACCTTAGTTTCTTCATCAGCAGAATGGGTTTCTGGCCTCTCTCAGGGATTTTTGAAGGCATAATGAAAATTATGATGAATCACTCATTGGTAGGAAAATAATGATATAAGTTTCAAATATGTGTAATTTTACCTATACTTGGTAATGCTTGGTTTGATAGAGCCTGTTAAGCTGCTATTGATAGTCAGAGCTTATATACTGTGACTTCTGAAGACTGTACATGAATTCCACAATCAGTGCTTCACTGATACAAAATCCTTAAAAGGGAGGCACTTTAAAGAATATGTATTTTTCACTTTTCTTAGTATGTTTCATCAGTGACACGCATGATAATGTTTCTAATGTAATGGGTAATTGGGAAAAATAGATTATAAATAAAATTGCTCTAAAGAAGTTAAAAAACTGAATGAATAGCTAATAGTGGTATAAAGTAAATAACGTTTGGAGCCAACATGTTGTCCCTTGTGTTAGTAAAAGGATATTCACATTCCATGATCCCTGGCTGAGAGTTCTACCTCTAGTCTTTCTTACCCAGCTGTTGTCTATCCTTTGTTCAATTAGAAATACTGATAAGAGAATTTTTAGAATACAGATCTTGTACTCCTTAAATTTGAATCCGTCAGCATTGTCACTCATAGGAAAATGATCAAACAAGCAAGCCAGTCATGATTTGACCCCTTTCCATCTCATTTCTGACTGCCTTACACTCATCCTGAGGTCCACCTTGGTCTCTCAAAACACCATGTGTTCTCATGCCTCCATGTCTTTTCACACACTGTTCCATTTGCTCTTCCTCCCACATTACACTGAAACTTTCAAGCCTCAGCCAAAACATTGCTTCTTCTGCATAGCAGCCTTCTTGACATCCCTTCTTACTCCCCAGTCCCTACAGGGCTTCCATAGCTCTTTGTGCGTACTTCAATCCCAGCATTTTCCATCAACTTGTAATTGTTTCTGCTACCTGACAATCATCGCCTTGAGTACTGGGACAACCTTTGATTACTCATATCCTCAATAAATGTTTGTTGAACTAAACTAAATGACTACAAAATTTTATTTTTACTTGTAAAAATCATTTAAATCTATATATTTAATGCCTTATGAGAGTAACCACTGTTATCATGCCAATCGTTAAGCCAGCCTTGCAGACAAATTGAAAAATATGCCAGCTTATACACTTTTAAAATTGATTTACGGTATTTTCATAGGTCCTTTAATACCTCCCATTTTCTAAGTTACCATAAATAATAACACAGATGCCCTAAAGTGCAACTAAATGATTAACTTCACTGTAATCTCTTGAAAGCAGATGCGATCTTCTGTTTTATAGTATTGCTTAGGACTTTAAGGAAATCAGTGATTGCGTGACTAGTGAATAGCACATTTAATATACTAGAAATTCTTATTTCCATGATCATTCCTTTTAGGTTAAGCTAGTATCTTCTGGGCTTGAGGACCCATGTAATAACTAAGTGATTCTCAGATTGACTGATACATTTTTGTTTTCCTTCCTGTCCAAGGTTCTTCCCAAACCAAAAGAAAAAGCATCTTACAGTTTATAAAGTAGATATTCATTCTCCTCATTTTACGGAAGAGGAAGGTAAGTCTCACAGAGATTTGGCTTGACCGTGGTTATTCACTGCCTATCAGCATTACACATGAATGGACTTGACCCTACTGACGTTCTTCATAGCTAGGGTTTGCAGTAACAGATTATAAACCCCGAAGCAAGAATTGCATATGTGTAGCATGATGTACCCATCAAAAACACATTAACAAAAAACTGTACCCAACTAACTGCCTATAATTATCTTTTTTGAGTTTAGACAAGATGGTCTATAAAGTCTCTTCCAGCTCAACAGCCCATGGTTTTACACATCTCATCTGAACTGAAGAGGTACTGTGTAATACAGTTGAAGGGTTAACAGATGGTTTCTCAGTTGAGCAAAAAGTCGATTTGAGAGGTAGGAAGTATATCAGGAGATTAGATTGAGGTGGCCAAGGGCAAAAATGTAGCACAAATGAACCTAGCTATCTCCAAAGTGTCTAGCCTAAGAGACAATTAGTAAATGTGGTGCTGAAGAGATGAGAAGCATGCAAGCTGATGGGATGGGGAACTATAGAGTCAAAACAGAAATTAAAAAAAAAAAAAAAGATCTAATTTCCCATCATGTAACCCAATTATCTGAAGAAAGAATGTTAATGGAAGGACTTGTCTTTATGGAGCCCATTTAAAGATAAACCAAAGAGGAAAAAAACATGTTCCATGTTATCCAGCAGTGTACAAAGGAGGTTAGATTACTGTATCTACTAGAAATGAAGTTTCTCATCATTACAGAGGACTAGTCAATGAGATTGTCCACAGCCTGCATTGCATGGCCTCAAACATCTAAATCCCTTTTCTCCACTTCCATACTCACTAAATAATTGTGTCTGGAGTTGGTTCCTTCTGGTGGGTTCACAGTCTCACTGACTTCAAGAACAGAGCCACAGACCTTCACGGTGAGTGTTACAGCTCTTAAAGATGGCACAGACCCAAGGAGTGAGCAGCAGCCTGATTTACTGTGAAGACCGAAAGAACAAAGCTTCCACAGCACGTAAGGGCACCCGAGTGCATTGTGGCTGCTTGCTTGGGGGTGGCCAGCTTTTATGTTCTTATTTGTCCCCACCCATATCCTGCTGATTGGTCCATTTTACAGAGTGCTGATTTGTCCATTTTACAGTGTGCTGGTTGGTCCATTTTACAGAGTGCTGATTGGTCCATTTTACAAACCTCTAGCTAGCTACAGAGCACTGATTGGTGCATTTTCACAGGGCACTGATTGGTGCATTTTACAATCCTCTCCTAAGACAGAAAAGTTCTGTAAGTCCCCACCTGACCCAGAAAGTCCAGCTGGCTTTACCTCTCATAATCCTCTAGTTACTCATTCAATGCCCAAGAATCTTGACAATAGAATAATGTGCCCTGGGTTCAGTACTCTTTTAAAGAAATCTCTGCATATATGAGAACTATCTGAAGAATTAAAAAATAAAAATAAAATAAATAAATTAGTAAAAATAAAAATCTCTGGCCTCATGTACTGGAGATTCTGCTTCAGTAGCTCTGCAGTGAGGTCTTGGAATGTATTTCTAAAAGCTCCCTGGGTGACTGATACACATCCAGACATGGAAACTACTGCCCTAGATGAGTGATTTTCAACCCTAAATGCACACTAGAATAATCAGCGTTGGGGTGGGAAGTAAAATGAATACAAACACAAAGTCTTATTCTCATCCAGCAGTTCTCAACCTGCCGAGTCAAATCACCTGGGGAGCTTTTGAAACTTCCAATGGCCTAGTCTCAGCTCAAACACATTAAATTAGAATTTCTAGGTATGAGGTCCAGACAGTATTTTTTTTCAGACGTTCTCCAGGTGACTCCAGTATGTGGCTAGAGTTGAGAATCACTACTCTAGGTCAGGGGCTAGAAAACATTTTCTGTAAAGGGCCTGAGAGTAAACAGTTTAGGCTTTGTGGATTATACAGACTGTCGCACTACTTAACTTTGCCAATGTAGCACAAAGTAACCAAAGACCATACAAAAATAAATGGGCACAGCTGTGTATGATCAAGATGGGGCCTGGCCCAAATGGTTTCATTGCTAAACATTTAAGGAATAAACATATTAGTATTGCCTACAGCTTTTCTAGAAAATAGAAGCAAGGAACACTTCCCAACTCATTTTATGAAGTCAGCATTACCTTCATGTAAAACCAAAGAAGTTACAAGAAAAGTAAATTATGAATTTGTATCCCTCATAAACACAAATAAAAAATTCACAACAAAATATTAACAAATCAAGCAATATATAAAAAAGATTATATATACTGACCAAGCGAGGTTTATCCTGTGACTGCAAGGCTGGCTCAACATTTAAAAATTACTTAATCACAATATTAACAGAATAAAGGGGAAAAAACCCACACGATCATATCAATAGATGCAGAAAAGATATTTATCAAAGTTCAACATCCATTTATGATAAAAATTCTCAAGAAACTAGGGATCAAACTGATAAAGGGCATCTATTTTATTTTTTTAAAACCTTACAGCTAATGAAACTTTATGGTAAAAGGCCTGGCTGCTTTCCTTCTAAGATTGGGAATAAGGCAAGTGTATCCAGTCTAACAACTCCTATTCAACACCATGCTGGAAACCCTAGACATAAGGCAAGAGAAGGTGATAAAAGGGATATAGATTGGGAAGGAAAAAGTAAAACTGTTTATCTGCATAACATGACATAGAAAATTCTAAAGAACCTTCATTAAGATAAAGAAACTACTAGAACTAATAAATGAATTTAGCAAGGCTGTGAAATATAAAGTTGATATGTATGAATCATTGTATTTCTGTATACTAGCAACAAACAACTGAAAAAATTAAGGTTAAAACAAACCATTTAATAAAAGCATCAAAAAACATAAAATACCTAGGAATAAATTTAACAAAATATGTGCAAGACCTGTATGCTGAAAACTACAAAACACTGCTGAAATTAAAGAAGACCTAAATAAAT